TAATGCAAGAGTGAAGTTGATCCCCATTAAAGTCGACACTGGTGAAACAGGAAGTGCCAAGTTGAGCAATCTCGTACGAGGGCTAAATGAAATTGTTCAAATTGGCGGAGCTGATGTCGTAATTATTCCGTATGTTGCCGAGTCAGACGAGCACTTAGACTTCCTGCTTAAGAAAGTCACTTGGAAGCTTAGTGGTGCGACGGTGGTGGTTCCCAGCGCGGATGCAAACATGGGACTCTCAAGCCATCTTATCACTCCTTGCCATCTTGCACTAAACCGGTTGGGAATGCTGTGTGTAGCATCAACTTGGAATGAGGATCCCACGAAGTTATACTCGAATTCAAAATACGATTATTATATTCATTTGGGGATGCCAAGTTCTGATGTTGCTACAGGAATCGTGAAAGATGGCTATTACTCTCATGTTCGCTTTCGTGGTGGTGGTGCTGCTGCAGCTCTGATAGGAGGAGTAGCAGCCCTTTTATCGAGCATCGGTACGACGAAGCAACTTCCATATAACATCACCAAGGTACTCATCGACGAGTCTTGGAGGAGTGTTATGGACAAGCGGGGACAACCAACTGATATCAACGTCACCGATGTCGGACGCGCGGTGGAGAAATGGTCGCGACTCGCACTGCAGGGGGAACTGGGCCAGATAGAGGTCTCCCCGCATGAGCTGAATTTAGATGAGAATGGAATTGCATATACTGATTTTTGAGTCGATGTTGTTCATGTTGCACAATCCATGATGTAGTTGTGTGTGCATTTATGGTGTTGAATGTTGCGTCAGAAGTGTCTGTGTGGGTAGTGCTGCTCACTAGGCAAGGTTAGTGCCTCCGTGCATATATACCGATTTCTTCATGAGGGATTGAACTGCTCAGCACGAGAGGTTGGGCGTAAGGCATAGGATGTACAGGGGTTGATCCGCCACGTCCTCTCTTAGGTATTAAGGAGGAATCTTGCTTCCAATCTTGAACCTATGCGGTAGCTGATATCATTCCAGGCTATACTTTCACTCGAACCGCTTTTGAATCTCGAAGAGGAAGCACATTAACAGAGCTGCAGCATACATTCTGAGTTTCTTGCTGGTGAGCTCGTTCGATAATGGAAGACACCTGCGGCGTTTTTGAACGCCGTCTCCATGACACGAATTTCCTATGGTGACCCGTAGGAATGAGAGGATAGGTGACATCATGCTCAACTGCAAAGTTGAGAGCTCTTAATGCGTTACTCAAACTACCACGGTTATCTATAGTGTACGGCGGCAGTATCATGAGCTCCACATTTGGGACTGGACCGTTAGTATTTGCGACTCCTGCGATGCCGATCTTATTATTAGTCTTGGTGGCTGCGATACCAGTACAGTGAGTGCCGTGATGCTCGAGTGTGGAAGGCACATCAGAACAATCGTCGGCGAAGTTGTAACCAATAGAGGCGTCAGCCGGACCCCTCCAGAAATAGTTGATCAGATCCGGATGGTCCGAATCAACCCCGTTGCCGCCGATGGCTAACACGACATCCTTCTACTTCTGCTGGGCTGAGTGAACGGCTCGGCAAGCAGCACTGAGCTTGATGGCTTCGAGGTTATGCTGGCAAGAAAAGATAGGATCATTGGTCCCGAGATAATGATTGCTGTGAGTGTACTAACCATTGGATGACTATGATTCCTCCAAAGCAGGGGTGGGATCAATCTAGGTGATTATACACCAGTCTCGGTATCTGTTCTCAGAGGGACCAACCTTATCAACAGAGGCTCATTATAAAGGCATATCTTGGGGCAGTGGCATAGCCGCCCCACCCGAAGGAATTGATTGTATGAAAGCATATCTTGGGGCAGTGGCATAGCCCCCCCACCCGAAGGAATTGATAGTATAAAGGCATATCTTGGGGCAGTGGCATAGCCGCCCCACCCTAAGGAATTGATTGTATGAAGGCATATCTTGGAGCAGTGGTATAGCCGCCCCACCCGAAGGAATTGATTGTATTGAGGCATATCTTGGGGCAGTGGCATAGCAGCCCCACCCGAAGAAATTGATTGTATAAAGGCATATCTTGGGGCAGTGGCATAGCAGCCCCACCCGAAGAAATTGATTGTATAAAGGCATATCTTGGGGCAGTGGCATAGCAGCCCCACCCGAAGAAACTGATTGTATAAAGGCATATCTTTGGGGCAGTGGCATAGCCGCCCCACCCGAAAGTATTGATGGTATTGAAGCATATCTTAGAGCGGCTATGCCACTGCATTCAGGTAAGTTTCTCCAACAGCAACATACTGCCTCATCTCCTCTGACCGTGTACCGCATAGGACTCCGACACCAAAACCGCATAGTCTTATCTGCTACCAGCATCTTGACCATCATCAATGATTCTTCGTTGTCGTCCTCTGTGTTCGTGGACTTACTGCTTATTATCTAGAAGCACGCTAGTAGTCTGCCTCCGAACATTAAGAGGAGAAGCAATCCATGACGAACTAACACTACGGCCACCCATCAATGATGGCTCGAAATAGCGATTTCAAACTCGTACTGACTTCCAGGACTGATGGAAAGATGAATGCTCATCAAGGAGCAATGATGCGCCGGACCGGTATCTGTCCGCAAAACATATCAAGCTGGGGTGCAGCACCAGTGCACTTCAAAATGACAACTCAGTATGATAATATGATCTGGAAACGGGAAGGAGTATTGATATACACAGTGTCACAGTGCTGACATCCTTCCCAACTGAAGGCAGAAACGAGAGATAAAACAAACGTTGTTTGTTATAAGTGTTGGTCACAATTCGCTTTTGGAAATGTAGCAGTCTACAGAAAAAACAGAAGCAGTGATTGAACACGAAGGGTTCACAACTATCGGAAGCCTTTGCCGAAGCCTTTGCCGCCAAATCCTTTACCACGGAAGCCTTTTCCGCGGAAGCCTCCACCGCCAAAAGGACCCCTACCACCTCCAACGAATAGCGGGCCGGGACGACGACCGACGGGTGCTACTATGATTGGTCTGCGACGTGGCGCTACTACTATGGGACGCCGACGTTCACTCATCGCTGAACCAATGAGAAGACCTCCCATGAGGCCGACTCCTCCTGCAACGAGAGCGTTCAAGGCGACGTTCCTGCTCTTGTTGGGCTTAGCCTTGAAAGTCTTGTGAACTATGCGGCCGACCTTCTGGTTTTGGTTGGGTAGAATATCAGTCAAATTGAAGGGTCTGAGAACGGGGGGGGGGGGGGGGTGAACCACCATACTTGGGCAGCAGCTCGAGAGGAGCCCACCTATCAACAGGAAAGGTTTGAGAGGTTGACAACTGAGGCCTTTGAGTCATATGCTCCCTCTTCATCTCGATGTCGAGTTGTTCTATCAATCCAGTGTAGGACACATTTGGGTTTCTCCTAATAGCATTACCTGATCAGAGAAAGACTCAACAGTAATTTATTCTCTGAGATATCATTTAGTGGACCCGATACCGTAGCTACCGGTGAATAGCAATAAACTGAAGACTCCTTCAGAAGCACTTACAGAATGCTGTTGTCATGGCACCACCCTTGAGATTGCCCACTGATGCATCAGCAGACGTCTGACTATCGTCGCATCCACTGAATAGTTGCACCTACGACGAACAACTGAGTAATTCCAAGAAGATACTCCTCGACTTACATCTCCTCTGGAATGCCATGGATTCACATCTTCTTTCCAGCCGGTACCATTCAACCACGTGTAAGGTAAATCCATACCTGATACCGACACCGCCTCCTAACACATCAAGCGTATGAAGTAATAGGCATTCTCTAGCATTTACACTTTGGTGCATGGATTGGCACACCTCTAGGTGTGGGGAACTACGATTCGAGGATAAGACACAACACATATATATGAAAGAGATGGCCCAGTCTCGTGCTTCACCTGTTCCTGAATGACAAGAGTCCATCACACTTGTCAGCCTTGCTCCACTTGGAAGGGGATCCACCAGCGCCTCATGTATAACATCATCGGTGATTTGACCTGCTGTTTGTACCTACTAACAGCCTTCGAAGTGCGAACCGACCCAATACGACATGAAATCAACGTTAAAGTTTGATGAATACTAGGCCGTTGAACTTCTCCGCCTTCTAAAACCAACCAAGTGACGAAATCATACACTCTTACATCAACAGGTATAATTGTCTCGTTCATCCCATCCTCCTCCAGGTGCGTCGGGTCCTCCTACATAAAACAAAACATGACTCCGAGCCCATGTAGACCGATGCTTCCTATACTTCGCCGGCTATAATTGTTCGCTGGCAAACGTCCCCACCACCTACAAAGCGATACACGCATACTCACCTGTTGAGCTCCATGACCAGAGTAATGGAAGAAGAAGATGTCACCAGGCTTGGCATCTCTGACCAACCAATGCATATATCGGACTATATTCTCTCCTGAAATAGGGATAATCGTTTCAAACACTCCGAGCAACATGAGTCATGTTACATGACCCAGTGCCTGGGAGAAGACAATCGATCCCATCGTGCTTACGTGTTGGCCTTTCAGTTTGACCATCATCAGTGAGGAGTTTGATATCATTAGGATTCCAATGATACGTCTCGACCAGTAATCTCTTCATATTATAAACATCAGGAATACAGCCCGAAAGCTCACATTTGGAGCCATAATAGTTAATGCCGATCAACAACGCCCTCTGAACACCTGCAAGGAGCTGTGAATAACAAGCGAGAACTCGATATTGTCAGATTATTCGGAGACTGTATAAGCCTGGGACATACAGGATAAACTCCATACTGACCGAATCTGCATCATACCAAAATCGACCCCAAAGGTTTCTAACCTGCCTGCATGAACACTCTACAATGGAGTTTCGCCCGTGATATGAAAAAACTAGTGTAAAACATATTTTACGACTACTGAAGACCGCGAATATCGGGTTTTTCACCGAGTTTTACGCCACTTCATATACGAACTCACAAGTAAAAATGCACTTTTCACAGGAAAATCAGAAAATAACGTAAAACTTTCTTAAACAAGTTCTCCATAAAGAGCAACAACACTCTAAACACGGATATTTCCTACTAGTTCCTCCTTACCCGTTAGTGTGGGCACCAATGTGCCAACTTGAACCGTCTGAACCTGCATGTTCTGCGGCAGGGCTCCTATCGGAGGTGGACTCGCCACAGTGGGAGCAGCAGAAGTGATCTGAGGATAACAAACCATATTCATCATAACATATATTAATAGAATCAACACACAGTAGAAATCACTCGGAATTCATCTTTTACCTCAGGAGTATTAAGAGGCGCATATGTGGCGTCGAGACCCTCCAATTTGGTGGGCATCTCCGGAGAGTACATTTCCAACGGAGCAGCTTCACTCGCCACAGGTGACTCCTGATACTTTCAATCGAATCACAGATGGTCGTATTCCCTGCTCACCTTTTCAGGCGGCAATACGAATCTGTTCATTTGTTGGCAACGAGGGCATTGAGCCTCAGCCTCCATAGCTTGCCCACCTGTTGAGCAAACACGTGAGACCAACACACAAGCTTGTAAACAACGCACGGAATCCTTCCACGTTCACCGTCATTATTCCTTGGCATTGACAGCATCTTATCTGGGCACTTCTCTCGACTTGCTCACGAGGAGCTGGTTGAATCTGCAGACCGAAATTGACATTCACTCGGGAGCTTCACCATACCAAACAGGTGCGTCGAGTTATACCATCTATCTGTCCGAGAGCTACGATACTAGTCTGATACGCTCGGAAAAATACAAAGCATATGCATAAAATTTACATTACAGTATGATTTCAATCGCGTCTATACTAACAACTGATGAGAATTGTGTTAATGGGCGAGCGAGTATAAATTAAGATATCATTGGAGTTTCAACCATTTGGTGTAATACTCAGTGAAAAAGGTGATATTCGCGGTGATATGCAGTAGTCGTGAAATATATTTTACACTAGTGTTTTTCATATCACTAGGGTCGAGAAACTCCATTGATGATTCGTTCATGTCGTTCATAGTTAGAGCACTGCGATTCATGGCCCATGCACGACTGCCCCCTTGTTAGTTACAGTTTATTTGCCGAGCCAACTGGCTCTTTGGGTTCAGTGTTACATCAAATGCACAACGCGTGACTCTACCGAATTTTCTCTTAGCCGTTCGATGCATCTTATCAACATATTCTGGACGATTATTTCCAACACAATGACTAGATTGAGAAACGGCCAAGAAATGTGAGGCGAGATGCTCATTGTAAGAATATCAACTATTGAAATTTCAAAAGGGATAGAAAGAACGACAACAACAATAAAACTTATCTAATGCAACGAAACGATGTGGACCAACAACAAGGCGCTATGGTATACTCCGAGTGAAATAAAATACGCACATGGTGCACACGTGTGCTGATGACAATGAGGAACTCTTGAGGAATTCTCGATGCTTTGTTTACAATCCTGCAGTATTATAAACTATGTGTAAATTATAATAATATAGTGCAGAAACTCCCAAGCTCAGCTGAGAGAAGCAAAACTATTCTATTTCAACTCAATCCAGTTTAGGGTCCCAACACTACCGTATCAGGAGGCATGGTGAATTGATTCAGAGTGTGGCAGTGGGGGCATGTTGCCTGGGCGTTCACCGGCTGATCTCCTAAAAGAACAAATCTACACTCAGGTGAGCTAAATTGAAGAACCGTCATATTCAGCAATTCGACGCAGAAACTTGTAGATATTATTCGAGCTAACGCGTGCACCACGTGAGCCGATCAACTCGAATAATGTGTATATTCCCAGTATGCAAAGCGCATGCCCATTTCGCTATCATGCTGTTACGCCTCCTATGTTCGTCTATCCAATTTGTTCCCTTCTCCGCAGCTACCGCCCCTTCCTACTACTACCCATCGCGGTAAGCTGGACCGTCAGAACTTCCCGGCAAGAGCCACACTGAATCTGGACGGTCTTACTCACTTCCCTGTGCAGAGCAGCAGGAGGAGGAGGAGGAACCTAATCCATAGCGAACGAGATCTTCATGAACACACTTAGTCGCAGCAGAAGGTCGCGCATACCGTTGCAGTGTGACAAAATATGCACATATGGTCATCTACATGTCTTAGTGGCAATATGAAAAATCTGAGGAATTTCAGGAAAATTCATGTTGGTTTCTGTATTTTTTTACCCGAATTCGAGTCTAAATTTTCATGATATACCGAAGAAACCGCTGAGCTCAGCTGAGGAGAGCGAGTATATTCTCCAAGACTGCACGCGTTGAATCAACATACTATACGATAGCCTCAAAGTCTATTGCAAAGCATATTACAATCAAATAAGTTTTACAGTTTATACATTTGTTCAAGAAAGCAACCTCAGAACTACCAGTTGGAGCAGAGCCGGGCGCCAAGCCTATTAAATCACAAACAACCTATCTACTGTGTTAAGGTAGCCGTCGTACAAACTAATATCATTTCGAGTGCGTCAAGGATGACTTTGATGAAAATTAATATAAATCGATTGAGAATACCCTACGTATGTGACCACAGACTACCAAACGGTTATGCAAAAACAGTTTCCCAAAATGGATGGGCTCACACCCTACAGTCGCGCACTAACTGCAAGGTGAGGCGACAGCGCTGAGAAATATGTTCTTTACTTTCTTCAGATGAGTTTTAATCATACAAGTTTACATACCAATTCGGCTAGAAACATTGAGAAGCCAATGAGAGTCTCCCAATATTTTTACATTGTCATCAACACATGAATGCCTCTTCTCCCAGACTGTGACCCCTCCCGCACAAGTGCTCTTCCATACTACCACAGAAGTTCCTATCCGTGCCTCTGTATGGGGTTCAATGGACTGCTGGTCACTAAAGAGAAGGAAACAAACTGCCGCCTTCCTCGAACCAGCCTCTCTCAAGACAGTCGTTAGTGCGCAGCACGTCCACAACAAGGACGACGCTTTCAACGATCTTTCTCTTGAGGTGTTTAATAAAGCTCTACGGCGTATAACAACAACTTGACCATACATAACGCTTTATGTAAATTCAAAATTTGTTCTGCACTAGAGCGAAACGGGCAGGCGTATTAGTATTTCTGCCCATGACACGCGCACGCATCGTCCGAGATTCAACCGGAAATATGAAGTGCCTTCAAACTCACTGAGTCCTAGTCGATGACCGTTCCTGTTGATTGAGTAACTCATTAACTGCCATATTCTCATCGCCGTTGTATTTATAAATGGCCGCCTCTATCTCCTTATCAGAACCTTGCAATGAATAAATTATTGCGCAAACCGATACGCGTTAGAAAAATCTCGCGGGAAACTGTCAAGCAATTTCACTCTGGTGCATCCACGATCCTAGCAGCTTAGTTTAGCAATCGCTGATATAATTATGTATAAATATGGTGTGGATATAATAATGCTTTTGCCAGGGCCTGGCCGTTCATTTCGGAGCTGCTGAGTTAGCAGCCATACTTCTATACTGGCTACTGTCTGCCTAGTGGGAGGAGTGCTGCTCTAGAGAAAAAATATAATATAGTAATTGTAGAATATGTTAAAGGTACATAAAAAATGAGATAACGGTCAACAGTTGTATAGATCTAATAACCATAAATACACTCAAAAAGGTATAACAATCATAACTACAATAGCGATAAAAATACTATATTATATGAAACGGCTCAAGCAACAGTAAAGACGGCGAAAAATACAGTAGTTCCAATTAACACCGCGCATTCCCATTAAAGAGTTATTCCCTTATCACTACTGTTAGGGCATAGGAATCTTATCTGGGCCGCATCTCCTCCTGAGAAAGGCTTGGTTGTCATAAGTAGGAACAGTAAACTGATTTCCAATAGACCTCTCCTGAGCTCGAATATCCCTTCCAGGATTAAATTTAACATGTAAAACTCGATCATAGGAGCGATCCTCTTGAACACCCCCAACGACTGAGCAACTCTCACAGGCAGCCCGAAATTGCAGTTTGAACTAACACATACCACAACATGACCAATAAGCCAAGCTCTTATTAATAGACTCCCAGCATACCATACTATCAGTAGAAGGGATCGCTGATGTTATTCCAGAGAACATCCAATGGAGTAGATGAGGAGGAGGAATAGATACTCCACCCAAGGGGATGAGCCTAGACAGCAACGTCTTCAATTCGCATATAATTAATGACAGTTCATGCAAGCTGTACATGAAGATACTCATACAAACATATAACGTGCGCAACCAGAAAGGTGAATAAGGCTCCATGAGGCTATACCTTATATTGACCTCGAGTTGAGATGGTCGAAAGTCAACTGAAACCTCAGATTTAGGAATTTTTATTCAACAACATACAATGAAGAGATAATTGATAACAACCAAGTTAGATCCAGATGGGGTCGGAAGTTGTATATGTTATTGATATATCTTCGCCTCGGGTGTGACACCATGCTTAGTGCTCCTCGCCATCACATGTCACGAATGACAACAACATACGTAACGAGTCAGTTCCCATCTTCCTATGAAGTTCATCCAACTTCTTCTTGTTGTGCAGCACAGTTCCTACAAAGTCAATATAGAGGCCCAATCACTACTTGTCCCGTTAGACACCTCTGAGAGCGCGATAAGTAGGAAGACGATATTCTCAACATACTCATACCAGAATGGCTTCAATATCAACCAACCAAACACACTAATACGTTCCAGAAACGGGAAAGAACTTATGGTCACCACACGAGGTCACAACAAATGGAATTTTTCCCAACTAAATTTAATAACAGGGATAAACGTCTGAGTTCAAAATGTCAGTCGCAGTTCGCTTTTGGAACTGCAGTAGCCGACGAAATACACACAAGCTTGAATGAAGAAACTCCTCTACCACCTGAAGCCCTTACCCTTGCCTCTACCACCAAAGGGGCCTCTTGGACCCTCAACAATGACCGGCCCAGGATGGCGGCGGGGCTCCACCACCACAGGTCTACGTCGAGGCTCTATTACAACAGGTCTGCGACGGGGCTCTACTACGACGGGGCGTCGATGTCTGTCTTCAGCGTGGCCTATTGCATCACCAATGAGGAGACCACCGACGAGACCGGCCCCTCCTGCAACGAGAGCGTTCAAGGCGACGTTCCTGCTCTTGTTGGGCTTAGCCTTGAAAGTCTTGTGAACTATGCGGCCGACCTTCTGGTTTTGGTTGGGTAGAATATCAGTCAAACTGAAGGGTCTGAGAACGGGGGTTGAACCATACTTGGACAGCAGTCCAGAGGAACCCACCTATCACAGGAAAGGTTTGAGAGGTTGACAACTGAGGCCTTTGAGTCATATGCTCCCTCTTCATCTCGAGGTCGAGTTGTTCTATCAATCCAGTGTAGGACACATTCGGGTTTCTCTAATAGCATTACCTGATCAGAGGAAGATTCAACAGTAGTATATTTTCTGAGATACGTAATGAACTCGATATCATAGCTACCGGAGAATAGCAATAAACTGAAGGCTCCTTCAGAAGCACTTACAGAATGCTGTTGTCATGGCACCACCCTTTAGATTGCCCACCGATGCATCAGCAGACGTCTGACTATCGTCGCATCCACTAAATAGTTGCACCTACGACGGACAACTGAGTAATTCCAAGAAGATACTCCTCGACTTACATCTCCTCTGGAATGCCATGGATTCACATCTTCTTTCCAGCCGGTACCATTCAACCACGTGTAAGGTAAATCCATACCTGATACCAACACCGCTCCCTCGTATAACGTGTATGAAGAAATAGAATGCACTGATTGGCACACCTCTGGCTGGCGAGAACTATAACGAACATAAGAAACAGAATAGATATACGAGAGAGATGGCCCAGTCTCGTGCTTCACCTGTTCCTGAATGACAAGAGTCCATCACACTTGTCAGCCTTGCTCCACTTGGAAGGGGATCCACCAACGCCTCATGTATAACATCATCGGTAATTTGACCTGCTTTTTGTACCTGATGCGAGTACAGTAATACTTCGAGTTTCTACGAATTGAACACAGTGTAAAGTAGGCACAGACTAATTTTCCCTTCGTTAAGATCTATACACTCTAGTTGGGAATACTACTAAAATCCAGCAAAACACTGTGTGACGACAACGAGAAAAATTTCGGGCTTCTAGATCTTGGAACTTACATCAACAGGTATGATAGTCTCGTTCATCCCATCTTCTTCCAGGTGCAACGGATCCGCCTACATAATACGAAGAGTGACCTTCGGCACCAACAGCAACAGTCATTCATGTCTCATACTAGTAATTTGGAACATGGACATCAGAAAGAGTCGTGAATCTCCCCTACAAAGCGATACACGCATACTCACCTGTTGGGCTCCATGACCAGAGTAATGAAAGAAGAAGATATCACCAGGCTTGGCATCTCTGACCAACCAATGCATATATCGGACTATATTCTCTCCTGAAATGGGAATAATCGTTTTAAACACTCCGAGCAACTTGAGTCATGTTACATGACCCAGTGCTTGGGAGAAGACAATCGATCCCATCGTGCTTACGTGTTGGTCTTTCAGTTTGTCCATCATCAGTGAGGAGTTTGATATCATTAGGATTCCAATGATAAGTCTCGACCAGTAATCTCTTCATGTTATAAACATCAGGAATACAGCCCGAAAGCTCACATTTGGAGCCATAATAGTTAATGCCGATCAACAACGCCCTCTGGACACCTGCAAGAAAATAGACCTTCAACAAAGGCCCATAAGAGAGCCTAACACGTCTCTCTATTCCCCGAGTTCAAACCCCCGCAAGGGCATCGAAACGATGACAAAAAACATGCAAGAAGACCCAGCTAACCAGATATGCCACATATGGACCTATTTTGCATCCTACCAAATCGACCTCCAATTGGCATAGTTGCCCCAAAGATTCTCAATCCAATTGGCATAGTTGCCCCAAGGATTCTCAATCTAAGTGGCATAGTCGCCACAAATATTCTCACTCTAATTGGCATAGTTGCCCCAAAGATTCTCAATCTAATTGGCATAGTTGCCCCAAAGATTCTCAATCTAATTGGCATAGTTGCCCCAAGGATTCTCAATCTATGTGGCATAGTCGCCCTAAAGATTCTCACTCTAATTGGCATAGTTGCCCCAAAGATTCTCAATCTAATTGGCATAGTTGCCCCAAAGATTCTCAATCTAATTGGCATAGTTGCCCCAAAGATTCTCAATCTAATTGGCATAGTTGCCCCAAAGATGCTCCATCTAGTTGCCATAATCATCCCACGGGTGAAAGTATGAGATTCGCGAGAAACAGAAAAATCCCGAAAAAAAACTAAACCAGAAAAATCTTCAGCCTACATTCTAAGCGGAGCAATAACGTCATGAGTGACAATATCTTGCTAAGTACTGACCTGTTAAGGTAGGTACTAACGAACCAACTTGAACCACCTGGACCTGCATGTTCTGGGGTAGAGCTACTTGAGATGGTGGGACTTCCACAGTGGGAACAGGCATTGCGCCCTGAAAATGACAAGCAGGTGCAAAAAATATCATTCAATGATTCCGATAGAACGGCTCTTTAGAACAACCCTCTTACCTGTGGCGTGACAGGAGGAGCGTGTGCCGCGTCAAAAGCCTCGGAATTAGTGGGGATCTCCACAGAGTATGGCTTAAACGGAGCGGCTTCACTCGCGACCACAGAGTCCTGGAACAAATGATATGATCGCAATAACACACCAACAACAAATAATTCAAACAGCGGAGCGAAGCATAGCAAATCGCATACTTATCTGCTCACCTTCTCAGCTGGCAACACAAATCTGTTCATCTGATGACAGCGAGGACACTGAGCTTCAGCCCCCACTGCCTCATCGCCTAAGAGAAGGGATAGGGGAAACTCACGCCCACAACCGACCTACGAAAACCTCTGACGTTTACCGTCATGAGTTCTTCACAGTGACAGCATCTTATCTGCGCACTTCTCTCGACTTGTTCACGTGGAGCTGCTTGAGCCTGACTTGATAGATCCATATTGAATCATTACGAACAGACTTCATTAGAAAAAGAAGTAAATTGAAACAGATAAATAGTGACAGTCGACCTACTGTAGAAGATGCGTGCGAATAGACTTCTGAAAACGCCACAAATTTACATCACAAATCCTAGTTAAAACTTGACGAGTGCTCTAGGCTCAAATCGACCACAGTAAACACAAAACCTGTCCCCAAAACTCACCACTGCCACAACAGGTACTGGCTGACTTGGGTACCTGAAGAGCCGCAAAAGTATGGGATAAGATAGCAAATACCACGTAAAGACACTATCTCCTCCGATAACTTACGCTTGAGCAGCTGGAGTAGATCTCTGCTGTGATAAAAGCATATTAGCCGCCATGTTTCGATCGCCATTGGCACGCCATAACGCTAGCTCCACATCACTAGTCGAACCTGAGCACATGAACTTTCCAATGGGGAACGACACTCCACTATTGCTAAGGAAATATACAACATTCTCCAATTCGAATTTCCGAAATTCAGGCCGCAAAAACAGATTATAGAAAAGCTATCACCCGCTAATTCACGAGAATGAGCGCATCACAGACTACCACAGCCCAACAACTTACTAGTAGGACAGAGCTCTTCAACGGCCCTCAAGTCCGCGTCAGTAAAAGGACGAGACATTAGCTCAAAATAATAATCAAACTTTAACGACAATACCGACGATCTGTATTGCCTGTCTAGTGTTTGGCAAACTCTCAACTGCTACCCTCGAAAACCTTCTCCACTGCGGGAAGGAATAGCTGCTTCTTGTGTGCTAGCGCTGACAGTTGTCCCCACGATGTGACAAAGTTCGAGAAATATTCAAAGGCATATTATATCTCCTATGCAAACATGCCACACAAAAAAAACCAAATTCTGAGTCCATCATCAAACAGAATTCCACTTCATGCTCGGCAAGTTACTCAGTTCAACTACGGCGAAGAACATCCAGGAAAATGAGAATAGCTTATTGAGGGAAGTCTAATTCGCTCAATTCATATCTCCACCACCTGAGTGGCCTTGTTCTCAGGAGCCACGATAATTACAACAATATAGTTTTCCCACTATGTCAATACAGTATATACCAGGGCTCAGACAGCAGTGACTGAGCCTGCAGGTATACCTCTATACTGGCTATTACTCGCCTGGTCAAGGCGGTGCTGCGCAAAAAGAAGAAGTATATAGCAAGACTAAGTAGCTAGCTAAAGGTCAGGCTATGTACCAAGTATTGTGTGCAGGTTTCTCCGGAAATGTCTACAGAACAACAGTCAAATCACAGTAGTGACTGTATCAGGCACTGTGGGGAAAAATACGCACATGGTCGACCACATGTGTTGGTGATGACACTATGAAATTCTGCGAAAAAATTTGAGAATTTCTTGCAAGTTTCTCTACACTTCTACCCGAAGTCGTATGTAAACGTGAGGAAGCTCCTGAGCTCAACCTAGGATAGCGAGCATATACTCTTCCAACACTGGTATGAATACATCGTCAGTCGAATACTCACATTACTACAGTCACTACCCTATCACTATACTTCGCTATCACATGCCTCACACACCCTCCCGTATATGATACGCACCGACAACCAGAACGATTGGACTCAACCGACGATTGGAGTACGACTCCTCAAAGACCCATCGAGCTTTGATAAATAGCGTTCCTTAGGAGAAAATGATGTTACTAATGTGATGATCACATTTACATGGGAAACTGATTGACGAATGTGAAAAATTCAAAACATTATAGTTTCCTATATGATTCCTTGCGACTTTCTCTCGGAAAACACAGCGTATAATAATAACAACTGCAACACCATTGACAAATATAAAGAGACGATTCATAATACACTCAGGCAATAGATGTCAACGGAAAGGTTCTTTATGAGTTCAACACATCAGTTTAGCAGCTCCTTCTAAACACGTCAAGAGTATCCCATCAGGGCCCTCCGTAGGTTGCCTGGGATCTAAAGCAGTTGCACGCATGCACAAAGATACGCATCAGTAGTATTCTCACCCAACTCTGATTCTCCCATACCACCGACTGTCACCTCTCCTGTATCGTTTCGAATATATACCTATGAAGTCACAAACCCTTGAGGCCAACTCACTCAACGCTCATATGGTTAAACTTAATACAACCCGCTAGTGATTATTTTCGCTGAAATTTTCCAAATTTCAACGACGCCATACAGGAATTCCTTCAACATTTTCGATCACATAAGCTCTCTAACCATTTAATAGCAATCAGGAGGTTTTCTAATACAACTACATCATCACAAAACCGAAATGTTTCCAGGACCAACACTAGCACTCTGACGAGCCTCCCAAGTTCTCATAACCGCTGAACCGAGTCACATTTCAATTCAGAATCTCTACTGAAGTGTGCGTGATTCGATTCACCCGTAAATCTGAACTAATAGTAATAAAAAATAATATAAAATTAAATATAAATTAACCATTATCATGCAAAACCTGACGAGCAAAGCGAATCACCTTCGAACAGGTATACGTCTCGATCCACGGTAGAGCCAGATGTGTGCCACTCCTCATTGCCAACAATGTTTTGACCGCCTAAAAGTGACAAGTCGGGCATGTCAGTAAAAAGCCGCCACCAGGGTTCGAACCCGAGACTTACCTGCCACCTACTACAGCTCCTTATCACACAAACGGACAATACACCATCGTCACATCGCGCATTTGGATCCACAATGAAATCTCCTGAGAGCAGTATACAGGAACCTATAATGTTCCCGGCTAGGAACACATTCTTCAATCAGTTTCCCATGTAAATGTCATCATCACATTAGTAACATCATTTTCCCCATTGTTATCAAACCCTGGGGAGACGTTATTTCTCAAAGCTAGACGGGTCCATGACAATACAGTGGAGTTTCACAACCCGCTTTACGCGAAGTGGCGGAGTAAAACTCGGTGAAAAACGCGATACTCCTTTAGTAGTCGTAGTCTACGACATATAGTTATTATAGTCATATAGTCATATAGTCATATCCTTTATAGTCTGACATATTCTACGACTCGTAGAATATGTTTTACACTAGTGTTTTTTCATATCACTAGGGTCAAGAAACTCCATTATACCAAGCACCCCCTCCTCCCACCCTACCTGCGGCATGACTAACGTTGGTGACTGTGAGGCTCATTATTGGTCCTCTTATTGTCGTTAGCCAAGTCTTGGGCTCGGGCAACCCTAAGCCTGAGTAAAGAGAATTCCCATGCAAGGTTAAAAATAATAAAACTTTCTCCAACTGATCACTTCCATCAATGATCACTTCATTGAATTTTCACCCTAGTGATATGAAAAACACCAGTAAAAAGATACATTTCACGACTACTGCATATTTCTTTTTCACATAGTATTACGCCACTTCACGTAAAACGGGTCGTGAAACTCCATCCTATCAGCGCCCTAATATGACGAACAACCATCACTGTTGAGCAGCTAAGCTTCAGTGAGGTATTCTCATCTCACCAGAAAGCTCCTTGGGAATAGGTTCCTTGCAGTAGAGTACTATATGTCCAGCTTTGCCGTCCATACGAAGAACGCTAACCAAAGCCGCGATTGCTCTACCCACTTGCCGAGGAAAACCTGGAAAAATGACAACCGTGGGAATAGAACCCGCGTGGCCAATCAATCACCCACGTCCAAGTGCTCGTCGTGTTATCATCTCCACATCAGCTATGAACCCCCAACAGGTCATCGTGAGATCAACTACACCGCACCTACCAAAAAATTACTAACTTTAACTTTCATATACGCATCCAACCCTTGGTCTTCGCTAACTCTGCTCTCCTCATCAGCCGCCGTTTCTGTACCATCGTCCGGAGCAATCGAAGACTCTCTCACTGCATGATACAAATCCAGAGGCCTACAGTGTGGGAGTAGTAGGAATATATGTAATCGCTTTCCTCAGCTGCTGAGCTCAGGAGTTTCCTATACAGTGTGGGAGTAGTGGGAATATATGTAATCGCTTTCCTCAGCTGCTGAGCTCAGGAGTTTCCTATACAGTGTTGGAGTAGGAATATATGTAATCGCTTTCCTCAGCTGCTGAGCTCAGGAGTTTCCTATACAGTGTTGGAGTAGGAATATATGTAATCGCTTTCCTTAGCTGCTGAGCTCAGGAGTTTCCTATACAGTGTTGGAGTAGGAATATATGTAATCGCCTTCCTCAGCTGCTGAGCTCAGCAGTTTCCCCACCATTATAGAAGTTTACATATGAATTCGGGTGAAAGTGCTCGGGAACCAACAAGAAATCCCCAAAATTTCCTCAATATTGTCATATTGCCACCTACACATGAAGTTGACCATGTGCATATTTTTCCACTCAACGGAATATGCGAGGATCGAACCCTAGACCTTCAGGAGAGAATCCCTCCCCTCTACCCACCCACCTATCCTGCCCGGTATAAATCGCGTCTAACATTCTCTTGCATGCCAAGTATGCATTCGGCATTCCCAAACTATTTGCCAGACCGTCGCTGCAAACAACAAGTCGAATGAATTCACAATCATCGACGTTTTTTACGGTAAAAAATGCGCAGAAATTTCCGCAAAAATTTTAGAGGTAAAATTTCTCCTCCTGAACAATACGACTACCGCGAGCATTTCTCTCTACACGGCGATAACAAATCACAATAAGATTCCTAGCGGAGCGAAGCATGAAATTTTCGAGAGACCGGCCCATAGTACTTGGTTCCCGCCGGGACTATTGCAAACGGGAGCCTTGAAAGAAGCAACTCGAGTGTGGAAAGAGTTTTCGACGAACTATACCTGAACAGAAAATTTGGTATGCACGCATGCACATGATGATAGTAATAATAGTAATCAGTATTACAGTCCCTGAAGTAACTCATGTAACAAACAGTCTCCTCCTATTACAGCGACAGCCGAGTACCTGAGAACCATTTGCAGTACACTTCACACAGCCAATCTATCTCATTAATATCTAATCATAAATATATCATATATATTCATATAAAACTCAGGGATGTTATTATCGAGGTTTCACCAGTTTTACGTGAAGTGGCGTAATACCCCATGTGAAAAACGCGATATTCGCGGTGATATGCAGTGATCGTGAAATGTGTTTTTCACTACTGTTTTTCATATCACTAGGGTGAAACTCCAATGTTCGATCGATACAATACCTATATATAGTTCTAATTCGAGTTATTGCATACCACATAGTAATTGTCATTATATGTATATTATTTAAAAGCCATACCACTCGCCCCACGAAAAGCCATGTCGCATCTCACTGAGCTCACCGATCAATATCGAGGTCAGCCCCCACGTCGTAAGCATGCCCAGCATGTTCAGTGAAAACAACCTCATACGGCACTTCACTCCGATCGAGCATCACCTGAGAGGAATCCCACGTGTAAATTTTCGAGCGATTTTCGACGAGTAATTTATTCCGATGATCTCCAAAGGCAGCCCCTTTTTCATATTTTCAAACTTTCTCCGTAATCGTCACAGAATCACCAATGAAATTCTCCAACATTTTCCTTTCTGCGGTCAATGACTTTGAGAAAATAAATTCTCCGACTGCCAAACCATGCAATTCGAGATGATCATCAAAGTAATAATCCCCTAGTGATAACTACATAACTATAAAGATATTCACTACAGTGCGTGCCAATTCGATCTGCAAATGCGAGAGAAAATTGTGATTGTTTTCCGAGACTATTGTTCTCCGCATAAACAAATGTAAATATTGCTATGAACATGTGATGGGATAATGATATACTTTCGAGACTATGATAGCGACAAGTTGTTCACTATCATTAATCCCGGAATAGAAAAGACGCACATTCTTCACATTTGCATAGCATCAAATCCGCATGCACTTACAGGAAGCAGAAACTACCTCAGCTGGAAAATGCAAGAGCAATCGACTCTTACTTGAAAAAAAAATATTTTTTCCTTTCAAATGAAAATATTAACTTTATTCGGGCCGCGAATTTTATCAATTTTATTATAAATTAGATCAACTCCACATTCTCCTCCTCCCCCGTAATACCTTCACCACTTTAGTGAACACTTTCCGTCCGAGTCCTCCACCAGAAACGGGATTACAAATCACCAGGAGTCGAAAATCCTGAGGTCACTATTATTATCCGAGGCGGTGGCGGCCGTAGGAATCGAACCCGATACCTTTGGTAAGGTCCTTGGTGTTTTCCCATCAGAAGATTTCTCAGGAACGTAAGCCGCGGCGAGCTCGTACGGCGACATTCTCTGAAAATATGAGCACATCATATTTCCGCTTACGCCCAGAATTCGAGACGAGCATCCAAAGATTGTAACATTGATAATGATGGTGACACATGAGTAAATATTCCGCTATAGAAATCCAAGAAAAATCACATTCGCATCAACCAAAGTGAATTTAGGAAATTTAACAGGAAAATCTGAGCGACTATATATAGAGAACATACACGAATACCTCCAAGCTGAACTTTGACGAGCTCACTTCTGAACTCAACCTATGAGCACCCTAATTTCCAAGAATGGATATACAATAGATCTGTGTGCCTACCCCGAGTAGTACCTTGGCATGCTGTACAGTTTTCCGAGGATATAATAGTATAATACTCACCGCTACGACGAGGATGAAGGAGACGCCAAAGCATGCCCACATGACTGGGTCCTTCAGATTTATATATTCCATAATCACAAATATTACAATCCGTCTTCTCCCCGATCGAACACTTCGGGAGAGCCAAGATGAATTTCTACTAACAGCAAGGAATCCAATCGTCTCTCCAATGAACAACAACAAACACGAGCAGTGATGGAAACAGAGCAGATGAAAATTCTGGATACTCAGCGCACTGGCCATATTTTCATACCAACAACGGATGTGTTACTTCCACGCCTCAACTGCCACGCTTGCGGCCAATAGGTTTTCTAGTATTAGAACAGACAATGATGACCACCTGTCACACTTGTATCGCGTTAAGTGAGTGATAGTGCCAATGTTAGATGATCTCTCAGATTACAGCCACTGAAAAGGCCGTCTCATCTCTACTTGGTAGGGAATAGGAACTGAGAATCGGAGTGACAGAGAATCGACTCCGAGTAAAGTGCGTGGGATCGCACTGTGAGGATACACGAAGTAGAGGTCGGATCGTAGGCTGAAAGTAGAGATTTTTATCGGTCTGTGGACGCTATGGATTACCATGTATCTGTACGTATATGCACTCGTAAGTATTCGCATATGTGCGTGTTAGTTGTCACTCGCCACGAAAATGGTGGGTAGATTGTTCGGCAACAAATGAGGTTCAATTCTCCCAGTCGTGGTTGACGCGTATCAACTTAATAGCCTTATCCCCAGCGAGGACTCTCGCTTTCCTCTGTCAAAAACTGAGTTCTTCAGTGGACTGTCTACCATCGGAGTGTTCTTGCAAGAAGTCTTCGGTACAGTGTAACCGTGTACTCAACCATGTACTCGAAGATTCATCAACCTCGCCCGCCCGACAGTTTTGATATATCACTCATCAATTCAGAAGCATGACTAAGATAAAAAGTATCTCCCATCTTAAACTACTTGAGTTAACTATGTCCGCTCCCAAAGAAGAATATAACCGCATCAGTGATGGGACCGACGCGGCGTCGGCGACGCCGATGTCCATCATCTACTATTACTACCTCATACTCGTAGTTTTCATTCGAGGAAACCCATAGACGGCATACATGAAACTGGTGCCCGCAAAGTGAAGATTCACTGCGAGACCAGATTCACGTATGCAGACCCGAACATGGTTTCCAGTATTACCGCAGCTGAGTGTTTCCCCACCAAGAAATCCTAGTGTACTTCTCTACGACGTAACTCTCACTTACGATATCAACTTCAAATAGGAAATGTAACTGTCGTGTTCGTGTAGGGGGCGTTCGTTTTCGACAAACTGTCAAATGCGATACACGATCGTAAAAATGACAACTTGTCAATTTTAGTTATAAGCTTCCTGAAGCGTTATTTCGACACTACTACTCGTCAAGTTGTCAAGAACATCTAGGATCAAGGCGGTCGTGATCTGGACAACTTGATAAAAACGTTGTTTATCAGCTATTAACGTAGTTTGTGCCAACCACATGTTGTCGAAAGTCCAGTTCGCTTTCATTATTGACAAGGGAATGACATAATTGAGGCGATGACTAACTTCGACAACTTGTCAATTCCAGAGGATGCTATTTGAAGATACTCGATTTTAATATTTATTTATAATCTATTTGAAGATACTCGATGGATTTTGCGCCACTGTTCATTGATATCTATGTATTACTGGGTATTGCGTATACATTCAATGTATACGCAATGTCATTGAATCTTCTCTGCTACATTTGATTTCATCTCGGAATTTGCTCTTGGTTGCTTTTTCATTGTGGTAGGGCTAATTTTTGATGATAGTTGGCTGCCCTTAGGAGAGGTTCATTATTCATGACTGAATAACTCTGAGTCATGACGACTCTGAGTATATAACTTCAACTTCGAACTCCACAATGTGTGTATAGAATAGTTGAAAGGGACTCCAAATCTATACAGACTAGTAGTGAGTAAGAGTTCTACTAGTCAAATTCTTGTTCGTTGCGAACAAGAAAGTTTTCCATGTAACACTGTGAGTGTTTACATGAATAGGGTATCGAAACACACGTCAATGTTCAGTAGATCAGTAGTGCATGCACGACAGTAGACGCAGAGCCGTGAGCCTCAATCGCCTTGAGGGCACTATATGTGGCAGGCTAATTATATTTAAATTGCGAGACGTAGTAGTAATGATACATTGATACCGATGGAGAATATGACAAGAGAGGAGTTGAAATTTTTGTATAATAACCGCCAGTGAGAACGTCTGGCCGTCGATGTTGGAAGTTGAGGCTGCATTAGTAGAAGTATTGGAAGAGTGAGGCCCGTACTCGAAGGGAGAATTATCTGGTAGCCGGTTGATTCTGCCCATCTCTTGTAGGTACTCTAGAAGGATAATTTCATTCCTTTCAAATCTATGGAGTACTGCCAGACGTTGATTCTCCCTCGCTGTAGCTCTTCGTCTCTGCGGCAGATGTGTGGATCTGAGGTTGACACGGACCTTCTCGTGGAAGGCAATGAGCTTGTCAACGAAGATATTGATGTTGGGATGTTGACGGGAAGGGACATGAGATCCCAGTGAAGTATGTAAGGCTTCGGTCGCGGTGTTGGTAGTACCAACTTGGTACGATGTGCTCCACCGGGTCTTGCGGCCCAATGTACAGGAGGATATGTGGAACCTAGTATTGTGAATACCCAGTTGATATATCCAGAAGTATACGCAATATACCCGAACTTACGGGTGTCGGGTTACTAAGGGAAAGGTGATTGGATCGAATCCTTGGTAGAGTCCTATATTTGGGAGGGGAGGTGATGACTGTTGATGAGACTCACCGTTAGTGATTGGGGAATGGCGTAGTGGTTTGAGTAGTGCGTTTTAGAGGAGAGTGTCGTAGGTTCAATTCTTGGCAGTGGCATTGCCAATGCTGCATTGGTGGAGGTGGGAGCCGGTGACTTCACTCTGGACCCCTGCGGGGTTCAGAGTCGGTAGCTGGAAGTAGTAGACGGTGAGTGAGCTCGTGACCGAAAGTGGAGTCAGAGCACACTGGCCCAGTGTCACTGGGCCGCCGCCGGAAACAGCTACCGCCCCAACCGTGCGTATCCCACCACCGGGTCGCAGTGGCAGAACACCCATCATGCACACCCGTATCTTGGCTTCCGATGCCACGCTACGGATAATGCGCGCGCACAAGAATCAGGACGCAGTACGCAAGATACGGGACGTTTCAGGATACGTGAGAAACGGCGAGCTATGGGACGCTGTACATTCGGATTCAGCGTTCAGTTCATTCACTCTTCAATCAAGTGCTTTGTTGAACAGAGTCTGTTCTTTGCAGTTGTTGCACTTTGTCTTTGTAGTTATTTGGCCGTTGTATCCCTTGAAGCTGGACATCAACCTCAGTATCCACGGCAGTACCATTAACATCGTCTACACCAATGGGTTTACTACTAAAGGTCCGACTACTACTGGGCCATCTATTATTTCTCTTGCTCGGATTCCTCGTGGCTTCCAATCCACTGGGCCGCCGAGGCAGGCGAAAGGCATCGGACAAATACTGCTGCCGAGGCTCTTCATGGTTCGCTTGAGGATCACTTTCGAGTATGATTTTATTTAAGAGTCTCAAGTCAATACAGAAGTCTTAAGTTCTCTAAATCGAATTAAAGTTGGAGCACCCACCCCGTATTGTCTGACCAAAAAGACAACCTAAGATATGGTGATCAGCAACGCAACGTCTATTGCCGGGGCGTTACACGCCTGTTGGCGTATCGCAAAATTGTAAGGCTTACAACGACTAATGCACCGTGCATTAGTCGTTGTAAGCCTTACAATGCATATGCACGCTAGAGTGGTAAAGAGCGGCAGTGAAATCCCATGCCATGACAGAAATAAAAGAGGAAAGGTCGATAAAAACTAACGAGACCAGTGGACGGGAGTCTCCCAATCCCACACAGCAAGAGTAGCGGTACCTACAGAGAGAATTCATAGGTGGAGGTGGTTAGCTTGGGCAAGGGTGAGTGAAACGTGAAGCAGTTCCTTAGTCGAGTAGAGGAGCATGAAGAAGGTGATCAGAAACATCTCCTGAGCGAACAAGCCGTTTCGGGTCGAAACTTCCGATCCAAAAAGCGAGCGAGATACCGAAAGGTGCTTCCCGGTGCCCCTAAAATGCTACCGGCACCCCTAAAATGCTGCCGGCGCCCCTAAAATACTAAAATACTCCGCTCGCCCCAAAATTACTTTTTTCGCCCCTAAAATACTTGAGAGCTCCCTCGGCGCCTGCGGCGCCGACATGATGTCGGGGACATCTCGCTTACACTTCTCTTTCACTAATCTATCCCACTCGTAAATTATCTATTCGAGTGGTTTTCCTACGATAAAGCTGTTGGCGAAGCGAAGTGATCCGTTGACGAAATTCGCGGCTGATAGGTTTGGAGTCCAAACTTTGGACTGACCTCTCCGCTGTCGACTCTCGAGTAAAGTGGCATTTCGCCAAGCATATTGGCATAAACCAAGTGAAACACTATTTTCGTGCATTAGCTTGGCTAATATCTTGCATTCGTGGAGCTGGACAGTGAAAATTTCACTGTGAAATGTTGTCGAAAGTAGGAAAATTTTGATGATGAATTTGAAGTTTGAAAATTTGAAATGATTGCCAGATTAGGATTCCGACAAGCTGCAGTAATTTTCGGAATGACAATGACCGTCATGATCGTAACTGGGAGCTCTCGTGACGAGCATCACCACCCCACGGATGGTCGCCAGCTACCTACAATCCGACCACATCTTAGTTGACTGTACCACTGATATTCTGGCAGCCGAGTGCGTGATGTTCACAATGGCTTCTATCACCCCAAATGGGTCAGCCTTACCTGTACTGGTAGGCTTAGTCAGAAGTGAGAATGCTGTGAGCATTGGGCATGTCCTCGAGCAGTTCCACAACTTGGTTAGAGAAGCTGGATACTCTGAGCTACCAACAATCAGACGAGTAACTCAAGATGGCTCACCCGCACTTCATGCAACGATTCAATCCTTCTACCATTCGACAACCATAACTTTTAGCTTCTTCCACTCCATGCAGATGGCCAAGGAGAAAAAACCTGCTACTATGGAGGCAGCAGTTTGGAATGAAGTGAAAGCCGACTTACGCACAGTCGGCTTAGCTAGCAGTGCTGCAGAACATCAAGTTCTCCTTCAACTGCTGTCATCCAAGTGGGAAGCGCGGCCAGAGCATGGAGTTACTGATCTCCTCAAAAAACTCGAGGAAGGAGGATGGTTGAACCTTGACAATTTCCGCTGTCGATGGACTTCACATCACACTGGGGGTATTGGTGGACGCACCTCAAATGCTCTTGAGTGCTTCCACAAGTTCTTGAAGGAGAAGTTGTTGAAGAATCATCGTATGCAGACTCTGTTCCAGTTCTCACACCTTAACCGGTCCGGAATGGAGGGCTGTGTCCAACTACAACAAGGACAAGTCGCTACGCCGATATGTGACGAAGGAGGACTGTCCTCCGAGGACAGGTTGGAGGCAGCTGGGATCAAATCCTGCTCCCACATGCGTCCTTGCTCGAGATCTTCCCATTATCGCGAGGAGAAGGCCCATACGTATATATTCACCGAGAAAGCATCTTAAAGTAACGAGGAGGCCGAATCCCAGCTCACAGCAAGGATCACACTCAACTACTCAAGTTTCGATCAAGTCCGTCGAATCACTCACAACGACGTTGTGACAACGTCATGCTCGTGACCTACCTTCTGACTCCAGATGTTAGGACATTGCCGAAGGATGGTGGACCCCGATGCACTTGCTCGAAATATGCTCGATGGGCAAAGTGTAAGCATCTCGTCGCTCTTGGTCATTTACTCGGTGTGGACGACAAGCAGGCTTGGGACATTGTGAAAGCTCGGCTCGAGAGGAAGAAAGCTCGAGTATGTCACGGACTCAATCTACCACAGAGGCCACGATATGGACTACCCAGGAAGAGACCAGGTCTCTGATGGGGTAGGTCCTACCCCATCAGAGACATCGCGAATTTTGCACTCGATGGGGAGGGGTCGAGGACTTGATGACTTCCCATGGCCCCCACATCATCGCCCTAATGAGGAAGAACGCAAGAACCTGAAGAAAAGAGACATCTCAGAATATTGTCAAGGTACCTTCGACAGCGACAGCGTGTACTGCAGCTCAAGACGCTGCTCTCACAACTGGTGGCATCTGGACTGCGTCGAGACATGGTGTCGAGAAATCAACTACCCAACTCCCGACATGAACAATCCGAAGGCGCCATAGTACTGTCCAAGATGTCGACTCCTACAATCATCGCATCCAACGAGCTCAAGTAAGAGGCCAAGTAGAAATTCGGATCAAAAGCATGACTAACACACCATACAGACTTTGCATTCCAAATTGGAATTTCCAATACCGTGGAAGTGTTGATGTTGGAAAAGTTATAATTCACGATTCATAGCCTAGTATCACAGCAAGATATAGCTATGTTACAAAGCTTACGTGCTCTAGCTGTTATGCATGGCACGTATTGCGTGTTGTCTACCTTGGCGAGTGGACGAATCTGATCGATATGAGCCTCGATACAAGAGCTGCGGAGTTCGAGGAAAGCAACTTGCTTTAAGCAAGTCTTAACCCCCAAATATAATGTTGTCCGATCATCGGAATCCCATTCAATATGCTCAGGTCTGGGCAGGGAACTACAGTAGTTATTCGGACGAAATGGTGATCATGATACAAGGTTATGCCGCGGGTACATACAGGCATCCGTCTGACTGAGTAGACCAGCACAGTCGATAAGGCGGCCGTGGGCCGCCGCCGGAGGCTTCGATTGAATGTGGTAGAACTTCTGGGACCTTGGTGCTGGCAGACCCGCTCCTTGGTGCTGCACGACCCCCCGGGCCTAACCTTCGGGCATCAATTTGGCGAATACACCGGTAAATTATGTGATAACATCGAGCCGTGAATCAACGCCCGTGGCGGCTTCCCGCGGGACTTCTCCGGAATCGATGTTCTTATGAGCTTCGGATGTTATCAAGTTGATTTCCTTAGACATCAAAGATCATGATTGTGGGATTGGAATTCCGATTTGAATCGCTGAACTGATATTCTTATATATTTGCGCATAGATTTTCTCGCGCATATGAAATCCCCATCCACATGCATAGCGGCCCCATTTGCCGAACATATTTCTAGATGTTGTACTCCTCTGGCATAGCGGCCCCATTCGCCGAATCCATTTTTGAATGTTATACTCCTCTGGCATAGCGGCCTCATACTCCGAATACATTTTCGGACGTTTTACTCCACTGGCATAGCGGTCCCATTCGTCAAATTAATTCTCACATGTTATTGTAAGATCAGTTTATCTGGACGGTTCGTTACATATACCCTAACAACTTAAAGTCCGCAGGTACCCGACTCGAGGAGACGACTGTCATTGGTACACGACTTGAAAAGATCAACTCCTAAGACAAACTTGGAAGACAGGGGTGTCAGTGATGTCTTCTGAGATGTGGCCGTCAAATGTTCCACCATATAGAGAGGACCCGTCAAGGGAGTCATCACCGTAGTCAGCCTCGAATTCCAACATGATAACACAACTTCTCCGACGTGGAGGCTCCAAGACTTGAGAGATAGACCTCAACCAAGAAGTCAAAAACTTAATCTTTTATCCACGAACAAGGGACAACCGTTTCGGTTGACAACGACACAATGCAGGAACATTGCACACATACTGCGGGTGGGTGAATGTCTACAGTAACTAACTCCAAGGGCAGATAGGCCATTTCGTTGGGGCACAGCTAGTAGCGACAGATTGTCACTGAAACAAGATACCGTTCTAGTGTTGGCGTATCTGCCTCATTGAGGAACCGCCCTAGCCATGAGTGTATCAATGGCAACATTGTTGTCGTATCGGCAGGATACAACTCGATACCATGGTGGGAATTGATTCTATCACGGCATATTTTGAGCCGTTTCGCCGGGAAGCATTTGATTGTATCATGTTTTGGCATATCTGCCCCACATCGGGACCGGCCTAACTAGCAGTGAAATATCAGGGCATATCTCAAGCCCTCCCACCCGGAATACTTGACTGTATCCCATTTTGGCATATCTGCCCCACTTGATACTCGAAAAATCCTTAGCCATTCTCCGCCCGTCCATGTCCGAGTCCAATCCCTCATCCCCCCACGACAGTTGGTCCTCCATCTCCGACACCGTCTCTGACAGGAAGAAAGTCACCTTTGAGGAGGGAGAGCTTGGGGGTCTCGATGGAGAGGAGGAGGAGGAAGCCATCAGTCGCTGCCATATCTTTATTGAGAACCCGGGGCAATGCGTGGAGATGATGGATAATGACGGAGTTGTTGGCAACGAGTAAGTGGACGTTAAAGACGACCACTTTCGGAGAACTAGAGCTATTCAACGCCGTGGGTGTCAGATACTTCATCCGTGTGATGCTATTCGATAGCGCTAATGCTGATCAGCCTCGAAGTGTGGTCATAAGGAACGATGAAGTCGATGGTCAACGACAGACTCCGTCCACTGGGTGCCTCGACTTCTCAGAGAGCGCAGCGATTGAGCTCGTTAAGGGCCACGACTCGAAAGAATCGTCAGAGAGAATCATTGGCCGTAAGTTTCACTCATGAGGGGTTTGGAGCGAGCATACCTCATAGAATGAACGCGATGTCTTCTAGGCGTCCCCTGTCTCACTTTAGTGCGATTTGCATAACCTTTACGCGATGCGATTCCTTTATTTAAATCCCCTTCGCTCAATGAACGACGCTCGCCTACAGAACCCATAGATCTCGACTTTCGTGTTCCCTGTCTTGTGGCCATGATGAGTGCGACGCTTGATGAGAAAAGCCATTGCGGTCATCGTACAGGCACTATGATTGGAATCGAGGACTTATCGGAGATACAACTTTGCAGCTCCACAAACCTCCTCGTGAGTACCAGGATGCCGTTCACCGTTGGACATTCTGACGGCCACAGGTACGGGAGTTGTATGATCCCACTTCTCTACGCAAGGTCGGCACCATAGATCTTCGTTTTGTCATCGTCACTCTAATGTCTGAATACTATCGAGACTCCCTCAGTGGACCATTGAAGAGTGACCGCACTGGTTGTGATGTGACGATCATTGGTCATCGCGGCATCGGCAGTGATGAGCAGGGATCCAGGATTAGAGAGAACACACTACTCGCGTTCAATCAGGCTGCCAAGTATGGTGCCAACGCTGTAAGAAAGTACTGTTCCTTTTCTCATACTCTGATCGGACGACTGAACTAGGACTTAGTGTAGATGTCCCCACCTTCGCGAATGACTGTTAGTGAATATCAGTATGAGGCTCGGATTCTTCCGTGCGCTTGTAAGGCGGGTGGCTCGCTAGCTAGCTGGGAGTTATATTCAACGCCTCGCATACGGATCCGTGAGTACCAGTTGATCCAGGTTGAGTTCGACGTATTCCTGACGTCGGACAAGCAACCCATGGTTTATCACGATCTTCAAATCACGGCTACCTACGGCCAGTCAGTGACACTGCCTATCACAGCTCTGTCGAGGGAAGGCCTAACTACGATGGACGAGAGCTCGAGGAGCCGAAAGGAGCGCCGCCAACAGCAGCACTCTCGGGCGGCACGAGGGGTGATTATGATTCAAATAGATCCACCCTATCGGATACTCAGAGCCTCGGGTCTGAGAATCATCCGAAGACCAGCCGCCGAGCGACAGCCTTCGTTACTTATAACCGTTGCGAGAGTTCTCTCGGGCTGTTACGTGGGGGCTCGTCCAATGAACTCGATAAGCGCCCGGGCGTTGCCAACATGCACGATGGGTTGCCGACGCTGCGCTGTGTGCTAGAGGGGACACCGTCCACCTTGGGAGCTCTAGTAGAAATCAAGTGAGCTCGGCGTGCCATTCTTAGGCTCATGCTTGGGTCAATGTAAGATACCCAACAACCGAAACAGTGAGAAGATTTCCGTCGAGGTCGTGTCACAGTCGCAATACTGTTGTTGAGGTTATTCTCCAGGACATAGTGAACTTT